GTACCAGGGGGGACAAATGACCCACAAGAACAGCACAAGGTCAAAGTAGGGATCCATAATGGGAGTTGGAAATCGGCAAAAATGGTGGAGAAGACAGAGACTAGTGGCATTTCTTTCCTACTAGTGTAAACTCCATGGCGCCATTTTTGAACTCTCTCATCTATCATTCAGAAACTGGAATGTACTGGAAGCTACAGACGGCCAAAAAATACATAGCCTCTCTTTCTCACGCATGCGTACATACAAATGTTTTCCAAAAGAGCAACAAAAACAGAATAGCCATGCCAAGGTTTTTTTTTTTCAAGAGATAAATACTTTCTAAGCATCATGAAGTCAGTCCTGGGGAGAAAAACTGTATTTAGGAAGAGCGCGATTGACCTGAATTTGTTTTCTAAGGCCCAAACTCACCATAATAGGTAAGCTATTAAACAAATCATCCTAGCAAGTAGGGTGGCTTTACGCCAAGCATTTTGGACAGGCCTCCCACAAATCCAGTTACAAGCTCACCAGGTCCTGTGGCAAGCACAACACACAGCCGCGCGCACACAGCCCTTCCCCTCGAGTTCTCATCTATGCTGTAGTTTTAAGACTTCCAGAAAGATCAGGATTCCCTTCTGAGCACTAACACGAGATTCCCACTTCATAACCTACTTCTACACTTCAGCACAAATGAGAGAAGACCCCCACCCAGCCCTTTTCAAAGACTCTACAATACTTGCGCCGGAGGACTTGAGGAAGGGGGGGGGGGGAAGCAGTTAGTGGAAACCACTAAAAACAAACTCAGTAAGATGTGAAAGCTATTTAAGAAAAAAAAATTCTCAAAGCCTTTCAGTGCTCTACTTCAGGGGAATTCGTTTAACAGTTAAACAGACATCTTTGCCTGCTGGAAAGACCTGTAGAGGATCTGTCTCCTCAAGCCTGACTGTAAGCCAACGTTTAGGCGCTGTTGATTTCAATCACCTGTCCATCTCAATGTAAATCGAGTTCTTATGAGCTTTGCTTAGGTTGTTGCTTTTGTGAAGGGCTGTTAAGCTTTCTGAAAATGTGGAAGTCCCTTCTAAACCGAGCACCTCACCCACACGTCACTCACTTTGCCTCACCTGCTTAACAGATGTCCAGCTCATATCACCAAAGGCCAATATCTATCAAGCTTACACCCCAGTGCTACTTCTCCCCCTAGCTTCTACATGCCTGGCTTCTACATGCCATTAACTATAGCACTCTAGACAAGAGTAACCAGCCACACCATAACCCAGTCTTCTGGCAATGGTTATAGAATTATGCCCCACACTCTATGATGTGACACTCCAGAGAAATTATCCATCTAACAAGAAACATTTTTCCCTATAATCCCCCAGTTGGACCTGCACCCCAGTCTGAGAGACTTTTGTGTATTGCCATTACATACACTATCTGGAGGCCTCACTTCAAAAAGGATGTGGACAGAATGGAGCAGGTGCAGAGGAGAGGGATGAGGATGATCAGGGGCCTGGAGACCAAGCCCTATGAGGAAAGGCTGAGGGACTTGGGAATGTTTAGTATGGAGAAGAGGAGGTTGAGGGGGACATGATTGCTCTCTTGAAGTACTTGAAGGGCTGTCACTTTGAGGAGGGCAGGGAGCTGTTCCTGTTGGCAGCAGAGGATAGGACTCGCAATCATGGGTTTAAATTAAGGGCCGGAAGATACTGGCTGGATCTTAGGAAAAACTTTTTTACACTAAAAGTTGTGCAACAGTGGAATCAGCTACCTAGGGAGGTGGTGAGCTCTCCCTCACTGGCAGTCTTTAAGCAGCGGCTGGACAAACACTTGTCAGGAATGCTCTAGGTTGATCCTGCATTGAGCAGGGGGGTTGGACTAGATGGCCCCCTTCCAACTCTGTGATTCTATGACTCCTTATTAATACAAGTTTACAGTAACTATTAGTCATTCTTAGATGGAACAAATTTAGACCTTTTAGAACCTGACTTCCAACCTGTTCTGGAATTTACACTGCTCCAATAGATGATCTTTTCAAAGAAACAGAAGAAGTACAACCCTGTTGATTTTCCTGAACCTCTTGGCAGTTTTTGGAATCAGTAACTGTGGTACCCTTTCTGGACTACCTGGACAAGATAAGCATCATGACCACCAGAGCTGGTGCTATCTGGCTCATAGGTTCCCAAAGGTGATACTACGGAATAGCTCTTTGACTCCATAGCATTTATGTTTTAGAGTCTCATAAGGCTCTCTCTTATCCCCAGACTATTTAACATCTGCATGAAACTGCTGGAAAATCTTCGCTGGAAGCTTGAGGTAAAGTTCCATCAGCAGAATGTTGATGACACCCAATGTCACCTGCGTTAAGTAAGTCAACAGATATTCTGAACAATTGTCTGGAGTTGGCAACGGACTGGATGAGGAGCAATAAATCAACAGTCTAGATTATGATTGAGCTGCTGATGCTGGATAATAGAGGTGATCAAGAATTAAGGAACTGGCCAGGTCTAGGTGAGTTTGTACAACCCATAAAGAAGCATGTTTCTAGTTTGGGAGTGCTATTAGATCCAGGGCTATTTTTGGGCAGGAACGCACAGGAACTGAGTTCTGGCTGGCTCCTGAGTTGGCCACGCCCAGCAGGAACTCATTAGCATAATAGGCCACACCCAACAGCAGAAACTCATTAGGATTGGCTACATTAGGGGTGTGTGGCCTAACATGCAAAGGAGTTCCTGCTACAAAAAAAGCCCGGGGTTTTGACAACAAACAAGGTAAACAGAATAAGAAGCAAAAGGTGGGTGTGGCTGGATGACCACACTTCTGGTAACATGTGGGTGCGGCCTAATAGGCTAATGAGTGGTACTGTCAGGGGTGTGGCCTAATAGGCTAATGAGTTTCTGCTATTGGGTGTGGCCGATTATGTTAATGAGTTCCTGCTGGGCTTTTTCTACAAAAAGAGCCCTGAGATCCATGCCTACAGATGGGCACCCAGGTCTCCTTGGTGGCACATGCTACCTCTAACCAATTTCAGTTGTAGCCTCTCCTTAAGAAGCAAAACCTGGCCACTGTCATCTGTGTTTTGCTGAAACCTAGGTTACATTACTGTGTGGAGCTGCCTTTGAAGGCCATCCTCATTGTTATGCTTAGAAATTATTACTGATGACCTTGTGCTGAGCAGCATTTATTGTATGTCTTAATTTGCTGCTATACAATTTTACCAATTATATTTTTGAGGATACTTTTATATTTTTATTCTGATTTTACCAACCAGTGTCAAACATTTTTTTGGAGAATACACCTAATGAACAGGCTACATAAATAAATAAAATTCAATTCTTGGAGGACTCACGCTTATACATCACAAAACAACCTAGTCAGTATCTTCTTGTTCCAAACAAGTTAGTAGAACATTATAAACAAAAGAACGCAGCAAGATTAGCTTATCTAAATATGAATCATATTTGGAAACCCAAATATGATGCTTCATGTAATAATAAATGTAAGTATGTCTTAATTAGAACAAATAACTTGGCTATAGAAGAAGAGTTGGTTTTATACCCTGCTCTTCACTACCTGAAAGAGTCTCGGAGCGGCTTACAATCGTCTTCCCTTCCTCTCCCCACAACAGACACCCTTGTGAGGTAGGTGGGGCTAAGAGAGTTCTGAGAGAAATGGTCACCCAGCTGGCTTCATGTGGAGGAGTGGAGAATCAAACCCAATTCTCCAGATTAGAGTTCACCGTTTGTAACTTGAATGATAAAAAGGGGTTGAACACTTTCCCTATGAGGAAAGGTTAAGGCACTTAGGGCTCTTTAGCTTGGAGAAAAGACGACTGAGGGGTGACATGATTGAGGTATACAAGATTATGCATGGGAAAGAGCAGGTAGAGAAAGAGGTACTTTTCTCCCTTTCTCACAATACAAGAACTCGTGGGCGCTCCATGAAATTGCTGAGTGGTCGGGTTAGAACGGATAAAAGGAAGTACTTCTTCACCCAAAGAGTGATTAACACATGGAATTCACTGCCACAGGAAGTGGTGGCGGCTACAAGCATGGGCGGCTTCAAAAGGGAATTAGATAGGCATATGGAGCAGAAGTCCATCAGTGGCTATTAGCCACAAGGTATAGATAGGGACTCTGGGGCAAGTGATGCTCTGTCTTCTTGGTGCTTTGGGGGGTCAACAGTGGGAGGGCTTCTAATGTCCTGGCCCCACTGGTGGACCTCCTAATGGCACCTGGTATTTTTGGCCACTGTGTGACAGGGGGTTGGCGTCTCTTATGTTCTTAACCACTAAACCAAGCTGGCTATACAGACTAAACAGATAACCTTAGTTTACAGTATCATGGGAGGGGGGCACTGCAGTGGAAAACTGGTGGGTGAGTTAATTCCTTTGTCCCCACCAATTCTACTCCCAAAGTCCTCTACCCTAGCATCTCGGTTTCCAGCCATGGTTTCTTCTGGTTTCTGAGCTGGCTGGGTGGAAAACAAGAACAAAGGGTACCGGGGGGGGGGCAAGTAAAGGGCTAAGCACCCCCTCAATACACCTCTCCAAATATCTCCATATAAAAAAGTAGAGAGATCTTTCTTCCTGTCTGCTGTAGTCGAATCTTTTTGTTCTTAAGAGTGTAAGACACAACAGTTATGGCCAAATACTCTCTTTAAAACTTAAATTAGATTTGTATTAGTTTTGTACTCATTGACAACACTTAATGCGTTGCAGAATATCTTCCAGTGTACAGTGTTAGTCACCCGTGTTTTAAAAGTCACTTAAAACACAACACAGAAAATAGTAAAGGTTTTGAATTCCCGTGCTAGCTAAATAAGGTTGCTCTGGGTTTGGAAATACCTGGAGATTTTGAGGATGGAGCCTGGGGAGGGCAGGGTTTGAGGAGGGGAAAGACCTCAGCAGGGTATAATGCTATAGAGTGGCCATTTTCTCCTGGTGAACTGATCTCTGTCGCCTAGAGATGAGTTGTAATCCCAGGAGATCTCAAGCCACCACCTGGAGATTGGCAACCTTACAGCTAAATGTTGCCCCCCCCCCAATCACATGGTGCCTGTGAATCTTCTCAGATACCTGCAATAAGCATTGCAAATTCAGCATTTACTAAATCTGAAGAAAAGAGAAAATGGACGCAATCAATTCGGGATATTTTTTGAAGAAGTCTGAAACACAACTTCCAAAAAATCTAGAAACGTCCTTAAAGTTGATTTTAGTAGCAGTAATTAAAAAAAAATACAGCAGAGCTCCTTCTGGTAAAGTTCTTGCATAACATTACTAAGAATATTCTAAAATACATATGACTCCACCATACTCTCTTACCTCTTTTCTCAGAAGTGCAGAAACGCTACATTTATGAGGACATGTAACCATAACACAAGGACAGTCAGCATCTTCATGTTTCTAGGATGAAAAAGACCCAGAAATTATGTCTCATGCCAGAAAATCTAGCACAATTTTCTCAGAATGCAAAAGAAAAAGCAGTACAGCTTGAAAGTCTGTGAAAAGTTCATGCTGATTGCCCTGCCACAAACTTCACTTCACGAACCACAAACAGGGCAAAATTCGTCACGAACTTTAGTTTGTGCCCATCCCTACTCTTTAAAGGGAGACATACATTTAAGCACCCTGAATTTAAGAGGGAAAAAATACAGGCTTGTTGTAATCCTTAAAGCAGATACACACACCCATAATGTCCTTTACAGCAGCCTCTCTCAAAGCATGAATGATCCAGAAAAGGATGCCCCAGGTTGCTGGTGGTGAAGATGTTTCCCATCCCGGCAAATACCTTCTAAGGCAAAGGAATGTGTTGCTCTATGTCATTAAAGGCTTCATAATACAAAGCCGATTTTTACAATCAATTTTATCTGAGGCTTTTGTCTCAAAAGCACTTAGCTGTCATTGGTAACCCTTTCAGCTTCCCTTTGTTACCTTCTCCGTCAGAAAGACAGAGCAACAACTCCAGAAAAGCACCCCATACTGCACTCTTGGCTATCTAGCAGGTAAAAATAAAGAGGGTTTTTTTTAAAAAAAAACAAAACCCTGAAATCAGATTTGGTACCAATTTCTATTTAAATGTGGGTTTTTTGCAACCCAGTCAAGGAGTTTCAGTGAAGTTCAATCTGATCATATACATGCTTACTCAGAAGGAGTTAATGGCAATGGTGCATAGGACTGAAGCCCTGAACATATGAAATTGCCTTATAACAAATCAGATCACTGAGCCATCTAGCCCAAAAGAAAAGAGCAAGAGTCCAGTAGCAACTTAAAGACTAACAAAATATGTGGCAGAGTAGGAGCTTTCGTGAGTCACTGCTCACCTTCTTCAGATACCAGATATCTGAGGAAGTGAGCAGTGACTCACGAAAGCTCCTGCCCTGCCACACATTTTGTTAGTCTTTAAGGTGCTACTGGACTCTTGCTCTTTTCTTCTGCTACAGAGAGACTGACATGGCTACCCATCTTGATCCATCTAGCCCAGGTTTATCTACTCTGACTAGCAATGGGTTTCACGACTTCAGCTGATTATTCCACCCATGGTGTCAGAAATCATAGATTCCCCCCCAACCCCTACATTTAAAAAATACAATTACCAAAAGTACTAGAAGGTGAGTTTTTTTTAAAGAAAACTTTCCCTTTAAATAAATTTTATACGTAGTAAAAAACCTCTATGTGACTGCCCTTCGTACACCTGTTGTTTTACTTTCTGGCTACAGAAGGCCAGGTAGATGGTATAGGTGCTTGTTTAAAAATACAAAGTTGATGAGATGAGAATGTTAAGAGCTGATGCAAAAGAGATCTGCTCTAGAAAAAAGAACTTCCTATTCCTTTAACTGAAAATCAGCTTGCTAAAGCCACAAAGGGGATTTCCTACCCTGCAGGGCATGCAGAGTCTATGAACCCTTGAGCTAAGCCAGAACAAAAGAGATTTTTAAAGCTTATATTTGCATAGCTTTTATTCCCCCCCCCACCTCACTCTGTACAGGCAGAAACAAAGTATTTGCTTTCATTTTTACTTTGTCACAAAAAACCTGCCTGAAATATGGCCAGTCTTGTGACAAAAAATGAGGCTTTCAAGCAATAAATCAATTTATTTTAATTAGGTGCAGAACCCACTTTCATCTGCTTAAAAGTTTTGTAAAAACGGTAAGACCCCAAATGAATGAAATGTCTGCAGCATTTTTGAAAAGCAATGAGATATTTCCTTGACCTTGCGATCTGTTTAGGACTGCTCCCCCCACCCCCCACCCCCCACCAAAAGATTTGATCCATTAACTGGTGAATTTATTTATTTAATTAATTTCTGCCCTGCCCTCCCCGCCATAGCAGGCTTAGGGCAGCGTACACAGGATATTACAGCTAAAACCAAATTTAGATAAAATCATAACAATATAGGTATAAAACAATACAAAGTTGTTAAGATAATTCATATGCAATGGCAGGCATGAACAGCATTCAATAAAAAGGCAGTCAGCTTCCATTGTAGTTTGGGTTATATTGGCTGTTAATAATAATATTGATACTGATGTTAATATTGAGGCCAGGGCCTCAGTTGTATGATGCGGCTCCCTAGTCGAAAGCCTGGTGGAAGAGCTCCGTCTTGCAGGCCCTGCAGAACTTTACCAAAATCCCTGGCCCAAAAGAAGTCTGGTTGTCCTCAACCAGGGCCAGGGTGGAACTCCCTACCTAGTAACATCCACGCCCTGAGGGAACTTGCTCAGTTCCACAGGGCATGCAAAATGGAGATGTTTCACCAGGCCTATGGTTGAAGGCAGCAACGGTTCCGGACCATGGCCTCTATCTGCCTTATCAACCTGGGGATCCACCCCATGGGGGAGCGAAGTGATTTGTATCTCATCGACTGTGTGCTGTATGTTGCATTGTATACTATTTTACTGCTTAATTATTGCTAATTTTATTCACTGTTTTAATTGTCTATTATGTTTACTATGATGTACACCACACTGAGCCCTTTGAGGGAGGGCGGTTTAGAAATTCAATAAATAAATAAATAAACACCGTAATCACTAACAAGTTTGATACTTACACTTAAAGAAAAAAAATTAACTATTACTGTGAATCAATCACTTCAATTTTTGAAAACCATAAATTTTAACATTAGGCACTGTTTCCAACATTAACAATTCACTAAATGGTTTTTCTCTTTGACTTTTATTGTGGATCACAAGGATATTTTTAAAACCAAAATTAAAACCAAAATAAAGCAGTAACAGCAACTATTGAAAAGTCTGTTTCTATGAGCAGCTGGGCGAAGTCGGCAGCGGACCAATTTTTCCTGCTTGGAGATACCTGCAGTTATAGCAGGTGGTCAATAGGAGGAGCACTGCTATGATGCTAAATTTGATCTTGACTGCTGCAGGGTTAGGGACTGCTACTAAGTGACGTGGCAACAAAACAAAAAAGATGCCAACCACACAGTAGTATTTTTGGCTTTATGGAATACATGTGACAGTGATCACATAGTAGATGGTCAAACTGACCAGTCATTTAACGGTATTTGACCAGTGAATTAACTGGTGTGTCAATCCTAGTTTCACCACACAACTTCTATGGTGTTTTATGTTTTTATTAAGTATTACCTTTTAAGCAATCTCACTTCTCCAGAAAAGTGGCTTAGAATTTTTTTAAATAAATAAAAACTTCTGGATTGGGCTTTAAGGAAAAGTGGGATTGTTCAGATCCCTAAAACAGTTTTATAGGACAGAGGCCTTTATTTGTTTAAAATCTTTGTTTAAAAGCTTCCACTGTTGTTGTTGTTTTTTAAGCAATCTTAGGACAATACTCACCTGTATCGTAATCATTGGAACTTGGCTCTTACAATATTTACATGTTGTTTCCCGGTATTTACAGGTCTTTTCTACATGATCGGGCAAGTCTTTCCTCAGAATTTTCTCTTTACAATCAACACGAGGGCACGGAAGTTCTTCAAAAAGACAATCATTTTTCAGATGGTTCTGAAAACGATATTACAGACAGTTGATATTCTTTCATCCATTAAAGATGAATCTTGCTAAGCATAAATAAAACCTTATCGCACAAAATGTTATACCCTAGAAGTCTACTGATGTTCCTGTGCATGAGAATTCGCAACATGTATAATTCACAACATCTTAATATAATCGGGCACAAGCAAACCCAATTACAGGAAGGAGTGGGAGGATTTGACAAAAGGATCCCTTTTTCACTGCATCCTTGTTTTGCAAGCAAATCAGCTGCAGCTGAAACAAAAAATATTACCTCTCTACATTCTTTGCAGAAGAGAATCAGTGTGTTATATGTAAATGTTATAAACCCACCTAAGAGAGTGTTTTCCTTGGGCACGCACTCTGTAAAACCTAACATACCACCAACTCCTGGTTAAGTGTTAAACCGTACCTTGTTTTATGGGTCTTTGATGGATTTCCTGGGAGCCAGACACAACTCTATGGGATTTTCCCACGGTCATATAGTTTCCTGTCCACCCAGCTGCACCACGGATCCCAGCAAGAATTGTAAAGGTTTGAGGGGCTAGAATCCGGGCCCCAGTAGAAACCCATCCATACCAGGCCCAGCAAACCATGCTGGCGTACTGTAACACCTCAGTTACTTTCAGACAGGAAACTTGACGAAAGATCTGACACTTCCTGAAGCTGAAGCTACCCTCTCATGTGGCCCAGGCTGAGAAGTTCGAGAGACCACTGGCGCCAGCTGGAAACCTCTGCGTGAGGATGAATAGTGTGCTCTGTTTTTATTTATGTTGTTTATATTTATACTTTATACATTTGAAATTTTGATATGTTTTTGATGTTCTTCTGTGATCTGCCTTGAGCCCACTTGTGAGGAGGGCGGTATATAAATGTGAATAATAAATATCTCTAACTCACACTTCTCTTAACTCAGTGGCACCTTTAAGACCAACCAAGGTTTATTCAAGGTATGAGCTTTCGTGTGCATGCACACTATTTCAACCCTGAAGATCTGTACCAGGGATTACAGGCCGTGGCTGAGTGGCTCAGGCTGAGCCGGCTGAAACTAAACCCAGCGAAGACAGAGGTCCTGGGCCTGAGTCGGAATGGTCTGGGGTTGGGGCTCCCTCTCCCGACCTTCGACGGGGTGCCTTTGGTGCCTGTGTCGGAGGTTAGGAGTTTGGGAGTGCTCCTGGATGCCTCCTTAACAATGGAGGCCCAGGTAGCAGCCACTGCCAGGTCTGCATTTTGCCATCTGAGGCAGGCTCGGCAGTTGGCTCCCTTCCTCGACCACGAAAACCTGGCTACAGTGATCCATGCGACGGTCACCTCAAGGCTAGACTACTGTAACGCTCTCTACATGGGGCTGCCTTTGTCGCTGATCCGGAGGCTGCAGCTAGTGCAGAACGCGGCAGCTAGGCTGCTGATGGGCCTCCCCAGGTGGGAGCACATCAAGCCTGGGTTGAAGGCACTGCACTGGCTGCCAATAGCATACCGAGTCCACTTCAAAGTGCTGGTACTCACCTTTAAAGCCCTATATGGCCTGGGTCCGACCTACCTGAGGGACCGCCTTTCCCCATATATGCCCCCAAGAGCTCTTCGGTCGGGGACCCAGAACCGGTTGGTGGTTCCGGGCCCCCGGGAGGTGCACTATGCTGCAACGAGGACAAGATCTTTCTCAGTGGCGGCCCCTACCTGGTGGAATGAGCTCCCGGAAGAGATCAGGGCCCTGCGGGATCTCATGCAATTCCGCAGGGCCTGTAAGACGGAGCTCTTCCACCAGGCCTATATGTAGGGGCCGCCGCCACTCCACCACTACCAACGGTGGAATGCCATCTAGACTGGGATGCCTTGATATTCCGGCGATAAGGTGATCCACGTGGGAGCAAGACCTGCTGACGGACTCGGACCATTTTCTGGACTAACAACTTAAGCCATCTTGGAGCGTTAAGCACTTTATTGTTATTAATATGTTATTGGTTGTTTTATTGGATTTTATTGATTTTATGTATCGGCTGTAATGCCCCTGTAAGCCGCCCTGAGCCCGCTTGCGGGGAGGGCGGGGTAGAAATATTTAAATAAATAAATAAAATAAACCTTGGTTGGTCTTAAAGGTGCCACTGGACTTCACTCTCTCACTCATAGCTCCCAACCACTAAAGCTCCATCTACACATCACGAAGTCCTCATGCTCGCTGGGGAGCAACAAGAGTACTCTGTATCAAACATACAATAGCAGCACCATGGCACGGTTTGAGGATGAAAAATCAGCATGGGGGCCGCCAAACCCACCTCTCCTTGTGTGCTGTGATTGCAAGAGCCAACGTGTGTCTGGGAGGCACAAAACTCCCATCACAGATGTAATACAAAGTCCCACGTTGCTCCCCAACAAACATAAATGTGTATATGGAGCTAAATCCCCATTCTCAAAACCTAACTCCTGAGTATAGTTCCAGGTGGTCAGCTGTGTTGGTCTGAAGCAGGAGAACAAATGTACAGCCCAGTGGCCCCTTTAAGACGAACCAAGGTTTATTCAAGGTATGAGCTTTCGTGTGCATATACATTTTGAATAGTGTGCCTTGCACACGAAAGCTCATACCTTGAATAAACCTTGGTTGGTCTTAAAGGTGCCACTGAGCTCTAAATGTGTTCTAAATCCTGAGTAAACTGTTGTATTGTGATTTTTTAAAAAGTTTTTAAAAGTTTTGGTCCTGACCTGGATGGGTCAAGTTCGGTTGAGCTCCTCAGAGCTTGGAAGCTAAGCAGGGTCGGCCCTGGTTAGTACTTGGATGGGAGACCACCAAGGAAGGATGGGGTTACGACACAGAGGCAGACAATGGCAAACCACCTCTGTTCCTCTCTTGCCTTGAAAACCCTACAGCAGTGATGGCGAACCTTTTAGAGACCACGTGCCCAATCTGCAACCCAAAACCCACTTATTGATCGCAAAGTGCCAACACGGCAATTTAACCCGAATACTGAGGTTTTACTTTAGAAAACACAACTCATATACATTAACTTAAGGTGATTCAAACAAAGTAAGGAAAGCAATCCCAAATGCTTTCATTTACTTAAAATTATTTGGCAGAGAAATTGACACTTTAATGATGGTCTGGGCCTGGCTGGGGCGATGGCACGCGTGCCCACAGAGGGCTCTGAGTGCCACCTCTGGCACCCGTGCCATAGGTTCGCCACCACTGGCCTACAGGGTCCCCACCCATTTCACCAAACTGTTTCAAGTACTCATTTGCAGGAGAAAAGCAGGATAAGCAAATTTTCAAATAAACAAGTGTCCCACTACTTACAAGCAACTGTCCCAACGTCAATTGTTCTCGGCAGCCTTTACTTTCGTTTCTGCAAAGTATCTGAAGAGCAAGGAGCTCCCTCCTACAGCAGTTATCCTTAAACACCTAGAACAAGGCACATTTAAGAACAAATTATCATGGGCAGTGGTCTAAGCCTTTTATACCAGTGCAACCATACTCCATTCACCCGTGTGAAGGGCTCACCCAACTGACTGCTCCTTAAGAGTTATACGCACAAATTCACATGAAACACAGGCAAGAAATGCTTGAGGACACCCTCTGGAGAACACTATTAAGCTAACTTTGGGTTTTGAGCACAGTTGCTGCTGTTGTCATCACAGGCTGACGGGCCATAAATCAACAACACAAAAGCCTCTTGATTTCTGCATGCACAGCAAGATGACCGCATTGCTGTGATGGCCAGTGTCACTCAAGAAGGAGAAAAATGTATTTGTATCATGCACTGTGTGCACAAATCTGATGATCTGTGTGTGTGTGTGCGCGCGCGTGTTTTTAAACATTCACTGGTCTGCTGAAGTTATTTCTATTGTTTTTAGCTGTATAAAATGTGCAAGGTTACTCGCTCATACATCATGTCCTTATTTTTGCAAAATGGTGGGAACAAAGCCGTAATTTCTCCACAGCTGTCCCAAGAAATCAAACGGAGAAAATATAGTTTGACATCCCATTTCACAAGCAAGAAATTTCCTGCTGCATACCGTCTGCTGCTTGCCTTGAAAACTTACAGCTGATACAGATTGGCCCTTACAAAAGAGCAACCATAAGGAAGCCTTACAGATCAAACAAGCTAAAAAATGGTGATGTATCATCCACTGAAATCTTCTGCGACCCAAGACATAATGACTTGTATGTCTGTAACTTTATTTATATGTCTGTTTGATTGACTGATTTATGGTCTGCACCCTCCCTTCTGCAGAGGACTCGGGGTGGTTCACTGTATGACTGAACACAGCATTAAGACTCAAATAGATAATATATATATATATATAACTGTAGGAAAAAGCAAGAGTCCAGTAGCACCTTAAAGACTAGCAAAATATGTGGCAGGGTATGAGTTCTTCTGAGTCACTGCTTACTTTTTCACTTCCCGTCTTCAGTACCTGAAGCGGTAAGCAGTGGCTCACGAAAGCTCATCCCCTGCCACATATTTCGTTAGTCTTTAAAGTGCTACTGAAGGAGCTGCGGTGGCTCAAGTGGTTAAGTCGCTGAACTGCAGGCTGTGAAAGGTCGGTAGTTCAGCCGTTCGAGACCCAAGTTGCCGCATGACAAAGTGAGCTCCCGTCTCTAGTTCCAGCTCCTGCCAACCTAACAGTTCGAAAGCAAGACATTGCAAGTAGATAAATAGGTACCACTTCAGGGGGGAGGTAACAGCGTTCCGTGCGCCTTGGTGTTTAGCCACATGACCACGGAAACGTCTTCGGACAGCGCTGGCTCTTCGGCTTTGAAATGGAGATGAGGACCGCAACCCTAGAGTCGGATTTGACTGGCTTTCGAGCAAGGGAAACCTTTACCTAAAGTGCTACTGAACTCTTGCTCTTTTCTGCTGCTACAGACAGACTAACATGGCTACCCATCTTGATATATATGAAACTATATATATGAAACTAAACTATATAAAACTATATAAAACTATACATATATATGGTGCGGGAGGACGGGGCCTGGAGCTCCCTGCTGGTGCCCGCTGGAGGTCGCTGCCGGCTGTGGGGAGGACACACTTCCGGTGATGTCAGGGTGTGTGGCATATGCTAATGAGTTATGCTAATGAGTCCCCCTAGCTCTTTTTCTACGAAATGACCCCTGTCTATATCTATATATAACACTATATATATCTATATCTATATATAACACTATATCTATCTATATCTATCTATCTATCTATATCTATCTATCTATCTATATCTATCTATCTATATCTATCTATCTCTATCTATCTATCTATCTATCTATCTATCTATATCTATCTATATCTATCTATATCTATCTATCTATAGCTATCTATCTATATCTATCTATCTATCTGTCTGTCTGTCTGTCTGTCTGTCTGTCTGTCTGTAATAATACAAATGAATACAATAAAAACAGACTGTAATTAGAATTCAACTGGTCATCCGCTCTGGGACAATTCTGAACAGCCGGCCAGCTCACCATTCTCTTGGTTACATTAAATGCTGCACAAAACAAGGCAGCCTCGCGTATCCTACGGAACCCTAACAGATCCCACAGGATACGAACCTCCTCGGGAAGCTGGTTCCAGAGGGCAGGGATAGTCACCACAAAGACGACAAATTTGTGGACCAGGCACCTGCAGTAGGCCCTGTGATGGAGACCGGGTGAGGGGAATCATGATGAGGAGAGGCGATCACCATCATCATTAAATTTTCACACCTGAGCCATGTTCTCCTACCCCACCACCAAGCACTGAGTGTGGCTTGCTGCAGACTGGTCTACTTTTCACTTCAGTCTCCCACCTGTTTTGTTTTTTGTTTCATCATAAAACCTCACACAGAGTAATGAAAATCTGCTGTGAGCAACCAGGGAGCAGAGAGGTTTAATAAGACGCACGCCAACGTGCAGGAACAATGCACTGAGTCCAACAACTCACTTTAAGGACCAGCTAAAGAACAGGGAACGTGCAGAAATAAGAAAGGATCAAGGGGGAGGATAATGAAAAGAATAGCAGTTAAGTTCTAAGTTGCATCTGTAGGCACTAAAAGCGGTATCATCGCTTCCAAAGCTTCCAGCTGGCTCTGGAGCGGCCAAGCGTTATATGGATTTCTTTTCCCTCTCAAACTTATGCCGCCTAGCAGGTTGACTTCCACAGTAGGTAGAATCTGATGACGCTTTCCTAGAAGAGAAAGGCCCAGAGTGATACAGATCCATGGAAAATAAGGTCTATCAATGGCTATTGGCCATGATAGGTAAATGGAAACTCTATAGCGTTGTAACTCTGGACAGCAGTGGCAGGGAGACAGACTGTGTGTGGGGACACTGTTCCTTTCACAACCTAGGGTCTGGCTAGAGGATATGTTATGTGCAAGCTGGGTTGGGCTGGAAACCCCAACCCAACTTGCATCTAACGCATGAATGGCACTCATCTGCAAAATGGTGCGTCTGGGCAGAGCAGGTCCGCAAGGAAGTCTCCATCATTCTCTTCCTTCCACCCAGTGCATTTCTGCAGACGGAATAGGGTCATGGGTGGGCTGCTTGTCTTATAGCCAGTGCTCCCCCACCACCAACACCACCATGGCCCTATTCTGTCTGCAAAAGTATGCTTGGTGGGAAGGCAGGTAATGAGGACACTTCTCCTGGGAGCCCATTTTGCCACCAGCACCATCTGAAAGAGTGCGCCAGTGAATTAATTATTAAAAAATTAGCCACGTTTAAACAACGTATCTTGAAACTGTAGCGTATGTCCATACAGTAAACACAGGAATTATCATTATCTGTAATCTGGTGCCCTTGGGAGCCATGATGCCTGACAATACCTTTTCTGGCACCCACCAAGTGTTTTTAGGAAGGGGGTGAGGCCAGGGAGGGCTTTTGCTCAGCAAGCCTTCTGAATGACTACTGGAGACTTGACTGGCTGTGCAGATTATTTTTTAATGTTGCTTTGGCAGCAGCTGCCACCAGAGCACAAAGATCTACACCAGAGGTTCCCAAACCTATTTGGCCTACCGCCCCCTTTTCAGGAAAAAAAAATTACTCAGTGCCTCCCTGGAAATCTACCTTCAAAAAGTGGACAAAAAGATGCAGTGACGAATTTGCACCCAAGGCTCCTACCGCCCACCTGGATCGTTCCAGCGCCCCTCAGCGGGCGGTAATGCCCACTTCGGGGACCAGTGATCTTCACTGTTTTACTGAAGTTAAGTTGCGGCACTGTTTTACTGAAGTTAAGTTGCGGCACTCATTGTGTGGCTGGTTCTATCTCCTGTGGCAGCCATTTTGTTGCTGTGCGCATCGTGACATGTTCAGAATTCCAAGCGTTCCTGCAGGCTCAAAAAGGTTGGGGACCCCTGCTGCAGATTGTCTGACTATTTTTTTAAACATCTCCATAATAAGTATTTAGGGAGAGTAAACTCATTTTAAAAAACATTCTTCATTCATTCCAAAAGAGAAAATATTTCACAAGAGGGGTTTCCCCCCCCCAGCAGGCAGAGAGATGATTTATATAACACACACACACCCCAACCCTTGTACCATTCCTTCCATTAGCTCTCTGGATCCAAGCCATTATTTATTTAAACCCAGCTACTTCAAACAACCCTTGAAATGGGTCAGTTCATGCTGGAACCATGCAAAGCCACTGAAGTCCAAGAAAACCTGAGACACACGGATCAACGATACTTGAGACCAATGTTCCCTCTAAGCTGTGAAGTCTTGTGAGCAAAAATTCTACTTTGTGAGCTGCTGGCATTAAAGTTGTGAGCAAGCGATTCGGCTACTGCATAAGTTAGTTTGCTCTGGAGCCATCTTTCCTGAGCGAAGAGAAAAATGTGTGAGCCGGAGGCTAAAAAACTGTGAGCTAGCTCACACTAACTCAGCTTAGAGGGAACACTGCTTGAGACCCAGAATGAGATGGGCTTGGCAACACAGGTACTGAGAATTATCAACATAGTTTAACACACAGAAATAATTGTGGGAGTCGGAAAAACTGTTACCTTCTCTTTCGCTATTATTTCTTGACATGCTGCACATTTTGGACTTGCAGAACTAGAAGAGGGGGGAAAAAGACACACCCTTATCTTATGCTCAAGAACAGTTTGCCTGGATGTTACATTTCATAAAAGATGTAAAACATGGCTAACAAAGAAGAATAAAAACGAGTCAAAGTCTGCTTCCTTTCGCCTACACTCCCAACACACAGCTTTGCAGCAATGGGACAGAAGCGCGACAGAAGCACACTGGGCCCTTTTGCTGTCTGCCACCTCTTCCCTTGGCCTCTCTTCCACTGGACGCATGTTGCGCTAGGAGCACTGCACCGCACCTGGCTGTTATACCTTCACTGTGCTTCTCTGCAAGGCCCTTGCCGTACAAGGCTGCTTGCATTGGGAGCACAGGTAGCAGCCTTCTCTTTTCTGGGAAGAAGCCGGGCTTGTGTGTTTGCACAAAAGAGTTGAGCTTCTTTGTAGAAGCCACTGGTGGTTATTGTCAGCAGCCTTTATTGTACCGGCTACCTCAATCACACTCTCTGGCTACAACAGTAAACGCAATCCTTATCTCTTTTTAAGAGTGTGGTCCACGCTGACAGCAGCACACTTCTAAAAAACATCTCCACTGGGCTACCTTCATATTTGTTACAGCTTTCTCTCATCCTTCCCCCTGCCCTGAGGTGAACACAAAAGATGGGAACTGCATTAGGACACATGCGATCCGGGAGAGCATCATTGTCTCCTCGTTCTTACTGAATGCACTCAAGTATCCTGTTTGCGCTCTTAAAAAACGGTTGCCGCATACTGAGCAGTAATCTTTGCAGAGCTCTCTTCAAAGATTCCTGCATTCGTATCCTCAGACGACCCAGAGTGTTAAAAAAGCTCTCCCCGGCACAATCGTCATAGGCGAACGAGTCAATGGGAAATGGGAACGGCTTTTGAGCCTTCTTTTCTAGCCGTGATCCCAAACTCATCACAGCAGATTTTCCCATTCATTTGGCCCTTTGAAAGCTCAGAATGAGTTTCAGCAGAAGTCCAATTTACACGAAATTTCCGAAAGTCATGGTTGAAGAAGTGGGAGGGGGAGGACACAGGAAGCCCCAGAACAGAATTCTTTTAGCCCTCTCTTCCAAAGCCGATCCAACAACCTTTTCAGCTTTGGAAAGCTGAAATCAATATTTGAACCCGCGAAGCTGCCTTAAACTGAATTAGACTCTAAGTCCATCAAAGTCGGCATTCTCTACTCTGACCGGCAGCAGCCCTCCAAGGTTCTCAGACAGAAGTCTTTCATACCACCTACTACCTGGTCTTTTTAACTGGAGATGCTGGGGATTGAGTCTGGGACCTTCTGCATGCCAAGCAGATGCTCTACCACTGACCCAGCCCCCCCTCCTCCCCCCGGAGCCCTACATCCTAACACTAAGCGTTTGGATGTTATCACATCAGGTAACCGAACACTTTACTGCAGCAGAAGGTGACGCTACAGCACATCGGAATATATCATTCTTCCTAGTGGGTTTTATTGAAATGGGGAACATCTTTTCCTCTTCTATTTTAGCTCATTTAAACATTTTTATTACTATGTCTCTCTTTGATCATCTCTTAACTTTACAGATGACAGCTTCCTACTTTTTAATGAATATAATAGATGGCTCAGATGAAAGTTATTAAGACATTTCCCCCTTGCAACCTTAAAAAAACACCTTATCAGTAGGAATCAATAAAACTGGTTTCAGATGTCCGTATATTTAGAATGACGGAGTAAGAAAGACAAAGGAGACTGGAACTTGGGCAATGAGTTTTGAGACAGTCACCTGCAATTAAGAAGTGCCTGACAACAATATTTCAAATTCTGAGTCCAGGGGCACCTTTAAGACCAACAAACGTTTATTCAGGGTCTGAGCTTTCATGTACAGGCACACTTCCTCAGATACACGGAAATGGAAGTTAACAGTTCACATATACAGGCAGATGCCTCTACATAGGTGAACAGCAAATTAGTGCTTTGCATATGTCAAAACATCTTCATTAAGTTGGATGCTAATTTGGTGTTCACCTATGTAGAGGCATCTGCCTATATATGTGAACTGTTAACTTCCATTTCAATGTATCTGAGGAAGTGTGCCTTGCACACGAAAGCTCATGCCTTCAATAAACTCTTGTTGGTCTTAAAGGTGCCACTCCGGCTTCAGACCAACAGAGCTGCCCACCTGGATCTAACAATATTTCAGATTTTCATTTCAGAAGCTCAGAGCCACTGAATGCCTTCAGCCAAGCACAATCTTCGCTTTCCCCTTCTCTTTTACACCTGTGTAACACAGCAACACTATTGCCTAGCAAGGAGGAAAATGTCAAGTGCCTGTTCTTTCAGCATTATTTCAGAATTGTCATAATTTACACCAAGTGTCATCAACATCAGTTTCTCAAGAGATACCGTTTAAAATTAAACTTGATCCCCAGTAAATGCTTTCAGCCTAGGAGGAAAGTCTGAAAAAGTCTGGGGCTTTACAGTTTAGAAATAAGACAGCTGGGGACAGGGGCATAACACAGGTTTATAAAGTTATGCACAGTATGGAGACAGTGGAAAGAGAAAACCTTTTCTCCTTCTCCCATAATACTAGAACCTGAGGGTGCCCAATGAGGGAAGACAAAAGAGAAAGACAAAAGAGAAGAGAGAGAAGAGAGAAGATTGGATTTATACCCTGTATAGAAATAGTGATTTCTAAAAGTCCATGCTTTCTCCTGTGATGTCATTCTGATAACATGCTGTGTCTTGTTTCCTGTTGAAGCCAAATGGCCTGTCCATTTGGCCAGAGAAACTTTATAACCATGCCATATAACCACACATTCTTTCACACCTCTAAGTGGAAGAGGCAGACCTGATGGCTCCTGGCCCACATGCAAGAAGTCACGTAGGCGATGGGGAAGCTAGAGGCTGGGTCACCTGACTACAGGAGGGGTTCCCAAACTTCTAGCCTATCCCCACACGTAGCAATGACAACCAACAATTGGGCACACCCATGCCCACTCGCAATTCTCTAATAGCCACATCTAATTTGTGACTGGAATTGGGGTATAATTGTTTGATCCCAATGAGAGAGACTCTCTTCTCTTGCTCTCTGCTCCTGTTCTCTCTGCTTGTTTTATTGCACCTGGAAATGCTGTCCTTTCAGAGACAAAAGACTGCTTTGTGACTTAAAGCACATGGAGTGCAAAGATGGGATTTCCCTTCAAAATCCCTTTGTGTCTAACTGGACTGTATACCTGGGACACTCTTGGACTATGGACACTTCACTGGTACATATGTATCTTTTACTGTGTAGTTAAAGCAAATCACCTTAGGCTTGTTATTTTGGTAAACTCTGGTAGTCTGTGCTAAGCTCTGTACTAAATAAAGATTCCTGATTGTTAAAATTGTCTTTGATGTTGTACCTGAATTCCAAGGCTAAATCTTGTGGCCTAAACGCTCATCATATACGCTACTATTAGAGAGTAAAAAGTGTGCATCTCTATATTGAGTTGCTAATGTGTTAAGTTCCAGATACCAACTGAGAGTTTGAACCTCTAATCTCAGGTTGGGGGGAACGTCTGTAGAGGTTCTGGTGGCATATTGTTCTGAAAACCTGAGAGGGTATAGCCTACCTCTGGGTTTGTTGTTTAATGTACTGTAAAGGTACAGGGTTCCCTCCCATCCCTGGACTGGCCTGGGTGGACAATCCTGTACATATCCCACCCTTCACTTGGAGTCTCAGAGCAATTTACAATCTCCTTTCCCTTATCCCCACAACAGACACCCTGTGAGGTAGGTGGGGCTGAGAGAACTGCCCTTGAGAGAACAGCTCCGAGAGAACTCTGACCCCAAGTCACACCAGCAGCTGCATATGGCGGAGTGGGGAATCAAACCCAGTTCTTCCAGATTAGAGTCCGCACTCCTAACCACTACACTAAACTGGCTCTCAACTTCTTTACTCAAAATTACTTAAGTGCAGGGGCCACGCTAATCGTCTTTATCATTCCATTTTTGGTATATGTGCTGTCGAAGCAGCAGTTAAACAGTTAAGGGAATGAAACCTAAGAGGGTAGTCATTATTTGTACAAAGTGGTCCCCGTTCATAAAGTGATTCGCAGTAGTATACGATGGAATGTTTTGGAATAAATATCTGGTAACATACTTACTTTCTATTTAATTAGAAGGTTAAAAATGGATATAAGCTTTTTCCGGAAGAAGGTGATCCATATTGTTTAAACTGATACTGTTTAATGTATTTTTGGTAGCTGCCCTTTGTGTGTGCAGGATTGTTACTCAAGGATTAATCAGGTTATGCTAAGTTTTGTCTTTTTCTCTTTTGTAAACTATTACTATTTAATTTTTTAAAAATTCAAAATTCCAAAAAATAAACTAAGCGCCGTCAAGTCGCAACCAGCTTATCACTGCTCCTCGTGGGGCTTTCAATGCAAGGGATGAGCAGAGGCGGTTTGCCATTGCCTGCCCCAGCATAGCAACCCCAATCTTCCTTGGTGGTCTGCCATCCAAGCACCAGCCAGGGCTGACCCTGCTTAGTTTCCGAGCTCTGAGGAGCTGGGGCTAGTCTGGGCTATTCAGGCTGCTACTCCTTACTCAACAAATACTTAAACTGTGGAATTTACCACATAGCAATAGTCACAAGCATAGATGAATACCAACGCTAGGTTTTCTTTCAACAAATACTTAAACTGTGGAATTTACTGCATAGCGATAGTCACAAGCAGTGTGCACAGGGGAGGCCTTAGCCTCTATGTCCAGTTTGCTGGCCGTTTAAAGCAATTAGCTGGCTATTGTGAGAGACAAGACGCTGTAACACTAGGGCTTGTTCCCAACTAAATTTTTCGTCAGTGAAACAGAAGATTCCCCCCTCAACTCCGCCAAATGCTGTTTGTGGGGAATATGGGACCCTGGAGAATGACACAATGGTGGTCTGCAGTGGGAAGGGGAGATCTGTGGAAACTGCTAGGTTTAGCCTACATCCAACCCATAGTCTAATCCAGCAGGGCCACCCTTATGTACGAATCCTACCATGGTTTCATTTGTGTTCAGAAAAGATACATCTTTCCCCTTCTTGGGAAAGGTGGGATATGAATATCTTAAACAAATAGAAAGCAGATGTGGTCTCTCTCTCTCTCAGTAATGAAATGGATTCATAAATGTTGTCTGATAACCATTCATTCATTGGGGTCACCACTGACCCCAATGCAGGACCTCTACGCAGTGTTCTGAGTAGAGGCAGCATTCAACACAGCAATAACTCTTCCTGCTTTCCAAGTGCCCCCAAAGCCTAACACAGAATTAGAGGGGAACCTTGCCACAGATTATATAGTGATAGCATCTGGGACCCCCGCAATATGAATCTGGACTGTGTGAATACTCTGAACTTTCCTTTTCTTCCTTAATCCATGAAGTTACTAAATGTGAAAGACAGAAAGCATTCAGATTTGCAAGATATACAATACAATTCAGAACTTTCAACCCTGTCAGAGCAGCTCAGCGCCACTAACCTTAATACAGTGACCATACAAGTCTCACAGTATCGATGCCCACATTCTGTCTGTCTTGGATTGCACAATATGAGATGGCACTTTTCACATTTGTATTTGTCCTCCACGGCATTCACAAACTTCTCTTTGTAACCACCTTGCTCTGGTACATAAATTGATGTTACGGGGCTGCGTTCAGGGTTGGCCTTTTGTTGTACCATATCCACTGAGACAGGGGGATCAGACTTCTTGGTAGTGTCCATGTTGCGACTGGTTTATTCTACAGAGGAAGGAAAAAGATACACGCAAGAAATAGCAGATTAACTCCTCAATGTGGAGAGAGGCCTAACCTTGCACATACATCATGCCTGAGAAAACCCACTTGCACATCATGCTCACATTTGCCTGCAGTATACCATATACACTCTCATGAGTCCAGTTAAGACTGAATAGCATACTGTGGGAGTCCCCAACATGGTGCTTGGGGATGCCGCATCATCCCTCAACACCTTTCTTGGCGCTTGCCAAATGTTTTTAGAAAGTGGGTGGTAATCTTTCAAAAATACTTTATATTTCTATCAACATTTGGCCAGAATCTCTCTTTTACTGGACGCGTCACATGTACAATGACATCTCACATGCCCTTCACCACCAGCTGTTGTTGTTACAAGAAACAGTGCAAGTTGATAATGTCTGGGCTCATGAGAGAAGGGGTCATCTAAAGCAGAGAAGAAGCCAGGAGTAGCATTTTTGCCTTTCCTTTATTTATTTATTTATTTATGTTTATGTTTATATCCCGCCCTACCCCGAAGGCTCAGGGCGGCCAACAGGGGCACAACGTGCCGAGGTAAAACAATACATATAGTTTAAAAACAATAAATTACAATAAAATATAAACAATTTACAGCAAATTTCCAACAAGAAGGGAAGATCTTAACCTCACATAGCTACCGACAATCTCATCCTCAGAGCTGTGTCCAGCGCCACGCTCCACCCCTGGGGGCCCAGGCAATTAGATGTTAATTCGCTAGGGCATAGGGGGTGCAGATGGAATAGTGATGGTGGTGGCTCCTATCCAAAGGCCTGGCAGAAGAGCCAGGAACTTATGAATAAAGGAGTCGATTTTCCTTTGGGGTATGAAACGCTGTTTTCCAAATAGAAAACAAAGTTGCACTTTCCTGTAACTATTGCTCATCGAGTGTCTTCTGTACAGGCAGGGACACATGGCGACTCCTGCAGGCCCTGCGGAACTGAGAAAGGTCCCGCAGGGCCCGAATCTCCTCCGGGAGCTCTTTCTACCAGGTAGGAGCCGCCACCGAAAATGCCCTAGCCCTAGTCACAGCAAATTTAGCTTCTCTCAGGCCTGGAATTTCCAGGAGATGCCTCCCTCCTGACCGAAGTGCCCTTGGGGGAACATATGGAGAAAGGCGGTCCCTCAGGTAGGCTGGACCCTGGCCATTTAGGGCTTTAAAGGTCAAAACCAGCACTTTGAAGCGAATCCGGTACGCTATGTTTACTATGTTAGATGCCTACAAAATGAAGACATTCCCCGATGAAATTTTCTTAGCAAGCTCAATATGTATACTTATTTTGTATATGCAAGAAAATATTTTTAAATAATATATTAATTTAAATAGGTATCCCGTTAAACATAGCATAAGAACATAAGAAGAGCCCTGCTGGATCAGACCAATCGTCTATCTAGTCCAGCATCCTGTCTCACACTGTGGCCAACTAGTTCCTCTGGACAGCCAACAACAGGGCATAGAGGGCATAGGCCTTCCTCTAATGTTGCCTCTTGGCTCTGGGATTCAGAGGATTAGTGCATCCGAATGTGGAGGTTCCCCTCAGTCACCATGGCTAGTAGCCACTGATAGACGTATCCTCCATGATTCTATCTAACCCCCTTTTAAAGCTGTTTTGAAGCTTCTGTCTTAAATTATGAAGAGCCACTATCAAGACTTATGCGAAACTTCACTCCCATTACTGTGCTGGGCTCAGCCTCTTGCAGCAGCCATTTTGTGTCTGCACCCACCACTTCTGTCAGAACTCCAAATGTGCCCACAAGCTCAGAAAGGCTGGGGACCCCTGGCATACTGCCATACTTGGAAATGAGCATAAGTGCTTCTTTTCCATTTCCTCCCCCCATCAGAGCCCCCGGAGAAATCAGTTCCCAACAACAGTCATTCAGAAGAACTAAAGTTTATTGAGACATTGATAGGATCTAGACTCAAAGCAAACAATTATACTTAAATCAAATTAATGGCTCTGGGCCAATCGCACCTAAGCTAAAACCCCACCTGAATAATGGCATATAATTCGCAGGGGAAAGAGGATACCAGGGACAGTTAGGTCTCAAGGTTACATGGCTGAGTCAAGACAGATAACACCATTGCGGCCAGAAACAGAAGTAGGCATTCTTGTTCTCACCCCCCACATGTCCATGGCAACCAAGCCCAAGAAGGGGCCAGGCTGACACCCCCTCAGAGTTTACACGTGCATATTCATCATTCAACACATGCATCATTGAAGTACATGTAAGATAGCCATCACAGACTACATAAGAACATTTAGAAGAGCCCCGCTGGATGAGACCAGTGGTCCATCTAGACCAGCATCCTGTCTCACACAGTGGCCAACCAGTTCTTTTGCAGGGCCAACAACAGGGCAGAGAGGCCGAGATCTCCCCCTGATATTGCCTCCTGGCACTGGGATTCCGCTCAGTCACCATGGATAGTAGCCACTGATAGACCACTCCTCCATCAATCAATCTAATCCCTTTTTTAAAGCTGTCTAATTCTGTGGTCATCACTAATGCCTCAATAACACCAATGATGCTTTTCAATGGAACTAGCTCATAATTTCAGCCACAAGTGAAACTCACTATCATGGGATGTAGCAAGAGCAGCTAGTTTCATTGGCTTTGAAATGAAATTTGGGCAGGGTCATCTGTGTGATTACTAAATGGTAATTCACGTTCAGAGACAGTATCCATCTGAATACAAGTGCTGGAGAGAAACAATGGGAGGGAGCATTTGGCCTCTGTGCACCAGCCTTTAGGAGTGTTCAGTTGGTCAACTGGTGAACCACAATGTTAATACAGATGGATCTCTTGGCTGATTATTGTCTTCCAGCCATTATGTCTTCCAGCCATTGATCCTTTCAGTGGTCCAGAGTTATATAATAATAATAATTAATGACAGGGAGAAGAGATACACTACAAAGCCTGCTTTTTATATACTGATACCAGACATACACATTCTCTATTAAGCAGCAACTGGATTGCATTAAAAAACCAAAATGCAGAAATTATCAACAAACTACTGGTACCCATGCCCTGGTTACCTTATTTAACATGCAATGACCTGACCTGGATAGCCCAGGCTAACCCATTCTCATCAGATCTTGGAAGCTAAGCAGGGTTGGTCCTGGTTAGTATTTGGATGGGGGACTGCCAAGGAATATGAGGGTAGTGATGTGGAGGCAAGCAATGGAAAACCACCTCTGAATGTCTCGTCTTGAAGACCCTATGAGGCCGCCATATGCCAGCTGTGACTTGATGGCAAAAATAAATAAATAGTGCAACTTTTCCCTCTCTGGCCTTCTCTTCTGTCCCATCTCTATGCTTCAGTCAACTCAGATCAAGCCTAAGATCAAGATGAGCCCATTCCCGGACAGAACTAGTAACAAGATCTTCTTCTCATTGACAGCTGAATCAATGCGCTGTAATCTCATGCCATCCCAGCAGCTTCGGCTGTCTCCAAGAAGCCTCTTCTCTTACTCCAGGCTACTAAGAAATCTTGGAGCTACGTTGTATGCTAGGGACAGCAAATCACATTCAAGTCTAAAAACAGAAAGACACCAAGGCACATCTCCACTCTTACATTTCCCGTGGTATAAGCTGTGAGTGAAGACACCAAGGCACATCTCCACTCTTACTGTTATCAGTACAAGCATCTTCGTTAATTTCTATTCTCTGTCTTGGAACAGCTTGCAAGCCAACCTTGGCCACTAGCTGTGAGTGCCCTGGCACATTTCCAGGGTGTGGCACAGGATCAGCATTCATAGCCAGGAATTTGTTGGGGAGGGGGGCACCGCTATTGAATTATTGAATTATATTTAGTTAAATTAAATGAGCTATTTTATTCAAAATATTTTATTCACATACAAATGTGCACACATTGCCTTCTTAAGCATGAACAAGATACATGCACATACGAGGAGAGTGGCGGACGGGGCCAAGCAGACTCCTCCAAACGCTCTTCTGCCTTCAAGCGTGCCCTCCCTGGACAGAACCACGGACCTACCCTAAGTGGGGGTGGGAGAGCCCAGGATAGGGCGGGAAAGGCACACCTTTATACCAGGACTTTGTGCCTGGAACTCTGACTGCGGCCGCCTCTCGCATTTATTGCCTGGGCAGCAGCTCTCAGGCTCAGGAACTTGAATAGCCACACCTTCCCAGCTGGCCCGGTCAGCCTGCGAACATCCTCCTCTTGCCATATCCAGCTTCCCGGGCCCGCTCAGGGTTGGAAAGCCATGATGCTGTCTGTCGGAATGCAGAGAAAGGGAGAGAGGAGGGAAGTGGGGTGAGGGAGGGGGGGAAAGCAGGAAGAGCTGGTGACTGCCCACCGGGCCCCGGTTAAAGAGCTTAAGGGAAGACTGGGGTGGGGGATTAGGATGGGGCCACTGCAGATATGATCAAGCCACAGCGTTGTGGGAGTGCGGAATACCACTGAATCGGGATTTTAGAATTACATTCTACAGCACGCCACCTTTAATTTACTGAAGGAACGACCACCATTGCGAGCACTAAATTGTTAACTGTTTACTGTGTGGTTATTTTAACTTGTGTTTAAGTGTTTTATGTTGATTTGGCACATGGTGCCAATAAATGGGAGCTGCCCTGAGCCCGTCTGCGGGGAGGGCGGGATATAAATGTAATAAATTAAAAAATAGGGGGCCATGCCCCATGTGCCCCACCGCTGGCTACGGCCCTGCATAGGATTGGAACTGACTGATTCCCCCCAAAAAAACATTTAACCAGGGTGGCACAGTCCACGAAAGCCAGAATACCCATTTATGCGAATGATGGCCAACCTCTGAGCATGAAGGTAAAAATGGAGGGTTCTTTTCTCAGCAGCCCATCTCTGCAAACTCATATACTTCACTTTTCACTCAGGAACAGATAAACCCTGTCCTGCACAACAGCCACATTCAAATGTATTTGTATTTATTCCCATGTCTCAACTTTTCATGCATACAGCATGGTATTGGTTGGGG